AACTTTACTTTGATATGAATTATAACTACTATCATTCTTTATAAATTTTTTTAGCTCATTTTCAACTTAATTTTTAAAGAATCTAATTTAGAAAAAGGTTCATGCATTTTCTTTTCGTATTTATCGAATTCTTTGACTAGACAAGAACTAAGAATGTCATTAGTTAATTTGTTTACCTCACTTTCTAAAGTTTTTACATCATTTTCATGCACTTCAATAACAGAAATAGAATTTTCTTGGTTTTATAAATTATTTACTTGAGTAATTAATCGAATAATCTTACCTTTTACAATTCTCTTGGTTTTTAGAAGATCTTACATGTCGAGGTTTTGTGATCTTCCCAATGCAAGTACGATGCTATGCGATATGATTCACACACTTTGTTATTTTAGCTCCGTTGAGCAAAAATGTTCCACATTTTTGAACAAGAATGTTATTGTTGACCACTACACTCATCTAAAAATATATCATTTGAATTTCAGTGTGACTGCGATGACGGACAATAATGCAGATGGGAAATAGAAGTACAACGTTCTTTAACAAATTTTATTACTATACTTGACTTTGAGATTTATGCTCGCGTCAGCTGCTTTATCTCAAATTACTCTTAAGAAGAAATCAGAAAAAAAAAGAAAATATAATACAAAAAAAAAAAAATAGATTTTCCGATAATCAATGGACTTCAACTGATTTCAAAATTATGACATTTTTCGAATGACATGCGCCCTCTTACTGAGAAAAAAAATATTACGCAAAGCATCTAAATACAGTTACACTCTAAACAACCCCAACCAATGAGGAAATATTCATTGTTTAATCTTTATGAATTAAATTATTTTTTAAAAAATAGCCAACTAATCCACAAACAACCTTTCTTATTTCATTTATTAAAAAATACATCGTAATATGATCAGTTTATTATCCATTTTAATACAGTGTTTATTGGATTAGAGACTGCTGGATTTTGTAGAGATCGCTTATGTTTGATAATTTTATTTTTATTATATTTATTATTGCTTATAGATTATATTTATTATTCTACTATTTGTTTACCTGGTGTTGCCCTGATATTTATGTTTTTTGTATTTATCAAACAGGAGAATGGAGAACAGAATGAATGTAGTGCAAGATTGAAGTAATTTTATTGATAGGCATCTAAAAATATATGAACAAATGAGTATGCAAATTATAAGGTAAAACATCTTTCAAAATCATTATAATATTAATTTAACTCAAAATTTGATTATAAACAAAATTTTTAGTTTCACCTCCAGGTACAAGAATAAATAAATTCATGTGTGAATCCACTCTTGAGCAAGCAGCATAAAGCTGTACATAAGAGAAACATGGCGATCTCAAATCCTGTCTGCTGTAATTAAAAGACTGCCCTGTAATTTGTTTAACGTGATCCTGAACACAATTTTTGCTGGAAATTACAATCTTTTGAAGTTAAAAGGGAGATTTTATGGAATGAGTGGTATCCGAGAGATAAAAACTGTTTCAATAAGGTGAAGAATTGGGTTTTCTAAAGCAGGCTTGAATGAGGTTGTAGGGGCCTGTGCGTTTGAGTTACAGCTCATTTTGCATGTGTCTCAATTTGTCCAACTATTGATCTTTGGGTTTCTTTTCTGGTAATACTTCTCGTTTCATTTAGTTTTTATCTTAGTGTTCCTTATAGGTAAGTCGCCTATTTTTCTTTCTTATTTTCGTTTAGGAATTTTTTCATTCTATACAAGTTGTTTAAATTTCTATTTAGTTCCGGAAGATTTAACTTTTCGAGTCTGTACTTCTTTTTAAAGCTAAAGATGGCAGACGTTGTTTTGAATTCCAACTTAATGGATTCAATAAACTCCCATGAAGATCTTCGGTTCAGTGTTAATAGTGATATTTTAACAAATTTACAAATAACATTCAATCATGGTGCGAGATCTTTTATTATCGTATTTGAAGTTCCCAATAGAAAATCCCTAAAGCCCCTCTAAAATTCTTAAAGATAATATATCATCAAAAGTCACTACTTTGAAATATATTGAATACATGCTCATCACTCGATAAGGTTTAATACTATCCACCGATCATTTTAATAACGTCCAGAGAATTGGCAAAGATGAAAAACACCATGGGCGTTATAATAAAAACATGTCTTTTACATCGAAAAAAAGATCTTCACTGATTTCTACTTTTACAATATTCCCATTGATATATATAGACGAACTTGCAAAGGAATTGGAAGAAGGAACAACTTCTCAGTCATAGAACTCCGAAGATTTGCAGGAAAACGAGCTAAGCCTAATCTTTTCACACCAGTTTTGGTCGCCATTTTATGCGTAATCTTAGCAGAAAAATGCTAGATTATGCCTTTTACCCAACCAAAAAAAAGTTATCTATTTCACGATAAACTCTGTCAGTGATTAAAATGTTTTCTTATACACACCCAATCACGGATTGCAAAAATTCAGTTTTCTGTATATACTGCAGTGCCCAACATTCCATAGACTCGTGCTCGGCTAAATTCTCAAATGTGTCAATTGCATGAAGTACCAAGGCCACTGATAACAACTGTTCCAAAACGCAAAGCTGAAGAAAAAAATTTTGAAATTTAAAACTCTCAATCGACTTTCTTTTTATTGAATATCGAAGACTATATCGCACTCCGAAAGAAGACTCTTTCTCATCTAAATTAAAAGTCAGCATTATTTTATCTTCCAATTAATTGCAAAGGAAGAAAATATTGAATTATTCCAACAGTAAGCCATGGAAACTCAACAATAACTTCGATCTTCTTCTAAACTAGGGTCTCCAAACTACTGCCCGCGGGCCAAATCCGGCCCGCCGGAAGATTCTAGCCGGCCTGGAAGAGATTTTTAATTTGCCGGTCCGAGGCAAATTAAAAGAAAATATATATTTATACATTATACATCCATCTCCTTTTCTACTTTGATTAAATATATATTTTTTTTCTTCCTTTTTCAAAGGACTGATGATCTTTTTACTTTCTATATTTTTGTTCTACAAAACCTAAATCGACGAAACAGCAAGCACAGACAGCTTTCAATCGGAAAGGATTTGCAAGTTGAATTAATTTGAGTTACATTCTAACAATCATCTCAAGCAGTTGTTTCTAAATATGCTGAAGTTAGAGTTTTACAAATCAATATCGAAAGCAGGTTTTCCAAATTCAATATCTCACGGCCAGAAAAATCAGTGCTGTGTTTGCTTCATCTGATATATGTGAACAAGTGTTTTCAACTATGAATCTTGGAAAGAATTATTTCAGAAGTAGACTGACAGATGAGCATTTGATTCCTTATAGTGAAGTTCTAAGTGAGGAACCTCACTATAATGAACTTTTAAAAAGAAATCTCGATTTCATTCTGCTCATTAACATATTTAAATTGTAATACTTGTATATTGTTTTTAAAATGTTAGCAAAATTTTTTCTTGGCCCGCCAACCTTTTTTTTTTTTTTTTTTTTTTTTCAATTTTTTGGCCCGCGATCGAAAAAGTTTGAAGACCTCTGTTCTAAACAATAAAATCAGTCAGGCAAAGGCTTCCATTTTTCAAGAATCCTTTAAAATGCTCACAGAAAATATAAATGCATCTCTTTCCCTATGTCAAGCAATAAAGAAACTCTTTTTCCTACTGTTACAACTCTTGATACCCGTTTAAGAATAAAAAAAAAAAAATAAAGACCAAAAACTAGGCTTCGAAGTCTAGTTCTTCTAGATTTCAAAGTTAACAGTGCCAAACTTAACAGATCATGGTAATCAATTTTCAATTCACTTTAACTTTCATTTGGCATAATCAATCCAGGGTACTAAATCAATCCCAAACTACTAATAACTTGTCAACAAGCGGTCCCTTCATACAAATTGCATCTTTACAAAAATTTTCAAACAAAAATATAAATACAGATACAAATATAAATTATACATACATTTGACTACAAAATTCATCAACTTCATCTTTAGTCAAAGACTTAGTAAATATATCTGCCATATTATTCTTACTATTACATGTTTAATTTTCAAAAAATCCTTTTCGATAATATTTCTTAAAAAATTAAAAAGGACATCAATGTGTTTAGTCCTATGATTTTCTACAAATAAACTTGAAAAATTTAATGCAGCTTGATTGTCATGGTATAACAAGTGTTAACCTAAAAATTTGATATCTAAAATGCTGGATTCATTTATTATATTATAAATCAAAATAACCTCCTTTGTAGTTTTCAAACCTGATGGCCAATTGGCTAGCCCTCTGGCTTTTGGTACAACAGGCTTCAGATTCGAATTCTGGTGGAGGCGTGGATGTTCGTTAGTGGTTCGGAATCCATGTTAAAAAGGAGATCCCGGTTTAATTAAGCTAATGTGTGACCGTAGAGAGACAAATCAAACCAAACATTTACAGTTTCAGATAACGATATATATATACTCTACTTCCATAGTAGATAAACTCATACATTTATGCTTAAAAGTAAGATAAAATGCCATTTTTTTTTGGCAATCTCTAAAACTTTGGCATTCCTCCTATAGAGACTCATCCCCACTAGCAGCATTAGCATTAATCATCTCTATTAGTAGCAAAATCAGAATAACAAATTAATTCTAAATTTTCAACTCCAGATAAATTTAACATTAAATCTTTAATATCATTTACATATCCCAATAATTTTAACAAAATATTTTCAATGTTTTATTCCAAGTTATTCTGGAAATCGAGATAACATATGTTTGTTGTTTCTTATCCCACTTGGCTGACAAGCCCACACGTACTCATGATTGAAGGGGAAGGAAGCAGCTTCTGTTGTGATGGAGCACCCGTAGGTAGAAGTCTGACTTTGGCTCCGTGACGCTCTTGCAGTCATAAGAGACCGGGACCTACAGCTTAAAGTGGATTCCGAACCACTACAAACATCCATGGCACCGGCGGGATTTTGGCACCGAGCGTCAGAGCGCTGAGACACTCGGCCATTCAGGTCCCAAATTTGTGAATGCCAACGGCACGCGGTGTTCCTCCTAGGTGGTCACCCACCCAAGTACTGACCGCGCCCAATGATACTTGACTTCGGAGATCTAACGAGAACCGGTATATTCAGTATGGTATGACCGTTGGCACATAGATAACATATTGATTATATAACTTAAATTGGGTCTCGTTCTAGCAGCAGTAAGGGATATTTACATCCTAAAAAACTATTTTTGTATGGATATTTATACATCTTCTAATTTCATGCTATTCAATTTTCAAAAAAACAACACATGAGGATATTTAAATTACAAAAATATGTTACAAGTTTTATCTTTTGACCACTAATATTACAAAATTCAATATCTAAAATTTATGAATTTTTATATCAAATTTATTCCGTAATAACAACATCGTCTTTTTGGGATTTACTGATAATAATATCGCCTATATACAACAATAATAACAAGTTCACACTTCTTATAAAATTATACATAATTACACCATTCAAATTTAATGTAGTTTGAATAATCTAGAAAGCTATCAAACTCATAAAACCACTCTCTGCCACTTTGGTGTAGACCATATATGGCCTTTTTAAACAACAATCAATCTTAACAAAATCTTAGAAACCCTGGTGCACCTGCTTCTTATAAATACGCTGCTTTGAGTTTAGCATACAAGTAAGCACATTTTATATCTAGGTAGCAATTAGTCAATTTAAACATAGTAAAAAAAATTTAACAGGTGAAAAATTTTTAAAACGGGACTAAAATTTTCCTCATTTGTTTTTCACTTTTCCGTTGTTTAGGTCCCTGAGCAACTAATTTAGCTTTACACCTACAAATTGCTCCCTTTTCATTCCTTTTTAAGAGTATAAATCCATCTGCATCCTATTACTTTAGAATTTGTAGATGCATAAACTATTTCCCATGCTTCTCTATTTTTCATTACCTGAATCTCATCTACCAATTCTTCCCTCTAGGCATTTATTTTACTGGCAGGGGATTTTAAAGGATCTTTGAATTGTTCAGGTCAAAAGAATTTCAACATTAATAACCTCCGGAAGATTTGTAAGGAAATTTGTCTGAATAATTGGATCAAAAATGGGCAAAAGGTTGTTGTAACTTCATGTGGTGTTTACTTTCAAAAAATTTGTATTTCATTGTATACACAAATAAATGTTTACTTACCAAAAAAGTGCAGAATACTACTTATATCACCGATATATTTGTTTAGTTGTTAATAATTTTTTAAATATTTGCAAATAGTGTATTTTATAATTTGATCAAATAGTTTAAATTGAGAAACCTGTTTTGTCAAAAAAACCATAAATTAATTTACAAAATTGATTGTAAAAATTTTATTTAACAAAACTTTTTTTTTTTCAACATGATTCATTTTGGCAGAATAAGAAATTAATAATTTCTAATATATTCATATGAAATGACACAAAATCTATTAAGCTAGTTAATATTTAAAAAATTGCATCAAATCACATTCTTTTTGTTAAAAATTTTTTTTATTATTATGTAGTATTTACTTATATATAAATTCATCACATCTAAAGTTTTAATTGAAATTCTCTCATGAAATAATATAAAATTCTTTAAATATATATGCTTATAAATAAAGTAGAATCTTGAATTATAGTCACAGTGCTTAAATAAGGTGCAACAAGCATATCCAAAATTTATTTGAATCAAAACTTGATATAATCAAATGATTGCCAAAATTCATTTTATTATTTATTAGAAATTTTGATTAGATACCCTTTTTACATTTAAATTATACATAAAATTTTAATGTATTAAAGCTAATATTCATATCATTTTATGTGATTATTATTTTAGAGAACATTGTAGTTCAATGGTAAGCATAATAGTCAATTTAATCAGTCACATAGTTGAATTTTATTATGTATGTATAATAATGTAGAATATGCATGTTTTTACCAGTAAAGAAATTTGTTTAAGTCAATAAAACAGTATTTTTAACCTTTTTGAATATGACAATATTAATTTTAAATTCCATTAAACTGATTATGTTGTAGTTAATGTTTAAATAAAATAAATGAAATTCATTTACTTGGAAAATTTTATTCAAATATTATTTTTAAAATCTCCATGACTTGAAATTTAATTTGTTCAAAAATGAATAGTAGGAAAGAACAAAATCTATTAAAAATTGCAGTAAATTAATAACAAATAAAATTTTCTATAAAATAAAAAAAAAAAATTTGAATGGAAGTATTATTTCTTTGTTACATTTTTCTAAATATATTTTAATTAGCTTATTTTAAATTAAAATAATATATTTAATTTCATTGATATATTATTGTTTGCACTTAAAATATAATATTTCAAATTTTTCAATCATGGCTTACATGTTCTCCAAAGAATATTATTAAAACCTACATACACAAAACTACACAAAGTATTTATTTTAATTTTAATATATTTTAATCATTTACAATTGCAATTTTATGTGGATTATCTTTGTGTGATATGTAGTTTTATTTTGCTTAACAAAATACAAATTCTTTAAATACAGTGAAAAGTACTTCTCAAATTATTATTTTAACATTTTTATGGCATAAAAAAAATAAATCTTACAAAAAATTTTCTACTTCCTGTATTTTTATCCAACTTTTAGTTTGTATGATAAATTTTATAACAATGTATAATAACATAAAGAATAAATAGAGCATAATTTTTTCATAGTAGAGATGAAATCTATAATTTATGTTTAAATTAGTAATTGTCAGATGCTTTAATGGAATCTTGAAACAATAACTTAACATTATATAAAATCATTTATATTTATTTAAAAATTATTTTTATTATTATTAATTAAATTATTATTTTAATCAAAAGACAAATTACAATATAATTTTCCCCCTTAACAATTGAAAAATTTTAAATTCTGTAGTTATAGAATGCTTACATATTCAACTGAACTTTTTATATACTGGCTAAATATATAAGATCCTTTCAATGTATAAAAGCATTTTATTTGCTAGAAATTTTGACAACCAGTATAAATTTAACAATTCAGATTAATTTGTAATATTAGCAATGGAAATAAATTTTTTTCATGAAAGAATTACTTTCAATTAAACTATATGTTTTAGTATACTCAAAGAGATGAGATTTGGATAAAATGTATATGCATCAATCTAGTGTATTTAGATTAAACAAATAAAATGATTCTCAAAAACAAATCTTTACTTAATTATTATCACTGCATGCATTTGTTTATGCTAATTTAAGTATATTTCAAACAGCAAATGTTGACTTTTAACTCTCCTTAAAAATATCTCTTCGTCACTAAAAACTAAAATAAACGATTAACACAAAGTAACATAGAATATAGTTTAATTGATATAATGCTCCAAACAATTATAACAAATTACATACAATAAAAAAAATATTGCTAATCTATAAAAATATTTTCTATTAAAAAAATTGCATCAATATTGTATTCAAAAGTGAAAAAAAAAGGGTAAAGGAAGAAATTTATTCACAAACTTAAAAAAACAGACACAATTGCTACAAATGTCAAATATATAAAGTTAATCAACAATTTAATTAAATTTTTATAATTCTGAAAAGTTATAATTGATTTACATTTATGTTTAAAAATTTTATAATTTCTATATGGGATTCCTTAATAATGTTAATCTATTTTTTATACATAGCATAAGAATTATTTATACAATTGCTTTTCAAAACAAATTTGTATATAAATAAATTGCCATTAAAAATTTTATGATTATCACTATACTCTAATTTTAATAAATAATGTAGAAGAACTGATTGTCAAGTTGGAAGCCATACTTCAGTTTTATTTAAAATCCAATGTACATTGATAATTTATATCAAATTACCTATTTTTTAACATTAAAAGCTCTAATTTGTTCACACAGATAGTTTATGTATAAATTAAAAAATAATTTATGAGCAGATAATTCTTTAGATTTTAATAAAAAAAGTTGTTTTACAATATTTTTTAATAATTTAGAATTAAATAAGATTATGAAGAAACACTGAGTAAATCTTTTCAAAATTATTTAATGTATAAATGAAATAGCTTAAAAAATTTTAAATATTATAAGAAAAAGATTTGTTATAATTACAATATTTAACAAATGTAACATTATGTATTGCTTTCAAAAAAAAAAAAAAAAAAAACACTAGTAATGTTATTAACGCTTGAAAACAATTAAAAAACGATCTTTATTCCTAAATTGAAAACAAATTATAAACAAGGCTAAAAAAAATACAATAAATCAAGGTATAAAATATTGAGATATTGATGTTAAGAGAATTGAAAAAAAAAAAAATTACCAAACATTATGAAAAACTGATTTTTATTTAAAAATTCAACCCATAAAGCAGAAAAACCTATTTTATGAATATTACAAAAACATGCATGTAATATATCATAACAACTAACAACATTTTTTTCATTCCTTATAAATTTAAAATGTAATAGTTATAGTTTGATGCTTGTGAAAGATTCAATTTTATTTCAAACTCCTTAATGGAAATAAAAAAAAAAAAAATATTTAAATGTCATTGTTTTATAAATTATTTATGTCATTATTTGAAAATGCTCAGTGACAAATTATATTTTGTAAATAAATACATTTCAATATTCATATTTAATTTTTTTTTTTTAAATAATGGTACATTTTGTTTTGTCATCACTAACAGCTTTATTTTTTACATGAAAAGCAATATTAATGAGAGCAATTGAATATAATTTTCAAATTAAATACATTTCTTAACTTGAAAAATATAATAGTTAAAACAGCAAATGCAATTTCATAGATAGTTAATTTTGTTCTAAAAGTTATATGTTCTATTTTGCTCTAAAACTATTTGAAGTTTTATTTTTAGAAAACTGTAAAAAACCCTAACTATTTTTATTTAATAATTTCCAATAAAATAGTGATTATGAATAAATCAGTGACATTAACTTTGATATAAAATAAGCTATTTTCATAAATTTAACATCTTTTCCATTGAAAATAATATTTCCTTTTACACTATTTTTAATGACATAACCTACAGATTGGTAAAATAAATTATCAGTGTAAACAGAGAGAAAAAATATTTACTGATAGAAAAGAAACATCAA